CTTACTGTGGTGATCATTTTGCTTTATATACAAATATCTGACCGTGTTGTACACCTGAAATAATGCTATATGTCAATTATATCTCAGTTTTTTAAAATGAGGTGTCAACTTGACACTGAACATGAGAGTGTAGCATGTTTTGGGTAGGTTCCTAGAAGGGCAGTAACCCCAGATAGGTCATAAACACTATGCCGGACTATTATAAAAATGATACCATCTGCCAAGAATAAATGGTGACATTAAGTTCTTCAGGTTCATGTTTTCTCTCTTGGTATTTTATGCTTGACTAAATTCCCTGTGAACTAAGTAGTCTCCAGGAACTCTTAGATAATTTCAGTGGTGAAAGACTAGAAATTCATCTATCTGCAAGGGGATGGGGTCCTTGAGAAGTTAATTGGGAAAAATATTGAAAAATATCTGTTTTTAACACTGGTAATGCACTAAATTCAGGTGATGCATTATAATGCATTTCATTATCCATCAAAATTCTATTTTCTGTATATACAAACCATTAAAATAAGAAAATTAAAATATCAATTATAAATAGATAAAAACAAGAGTTTAGTATAGGACTTATAGCCAAATCTAGAGCAGTGGGCTTTGTCTGTGTTTGAGTCCTGGACTACATTTGTGACCTTGGGCAAGACATAACCTCCATGACTCTCCGTGATCTCATATGCAAACTAATTGCTGTTGTGGTAAAGATCATATCTTAAAATGTACTTGAAAATAATTGTAAACCATAAATTCCATAAAATTTGTAAAGAAACAGGAAAATACTCTCCAAGTTGTTAATTTTATGTTTTCCCTATTAAACCTTCATCCCTACTACATGGAGTCGAAAATTAATATATTTTCTTTTCCTATTTCTATTTATTTTCCATACCTTGATGAAGTTACAAATAAGGAATAAACAAAAAGATTAAAAGGAGGAAGAGGAAGCAAGAGGAAAGATGATTGTTATGACCCAATTCAATGATTTAGGTCCTGGTTATTAGCAGAAGAGTTGTCGCCTGAACTTGAGAATTTCTTTCAACAATCTCTCTGGCTTCTCTGGCACATGCAATTAAAGGAAAAGAATCATCACATTCTGGTTTAAAAAGTAAAACCTGAGAACCAGCAACTTGATGTGATTGTTAGGGGCAGGAGATTCTTCACAGCTGGAATATGTACAACTAGGATCATTAAGGGTGACGCTAGATGTATACTGCAATGCCTTTGCCATCATTCTACTTCAAAAACATCATCCTCCCCTCTCAAAACATATGCTGCTGCTTAAATGCCTGGCAACTCCCTTTGTTTTCAGATTTTCTTTCTTCCTGTTTCCAAGTATGTGGATTTCCTATTCACTGAAGGCATTTAAGCAGTTCTGGTTATATACTGCTATGTAACAAACCACCTCAAACATACTGGCATAAAGTAACATCAATTTTATTATGCTCATGGATTCTGTGAGTCAGAAATTCAAAGCCCAGCTGGGAGGGCTTGTCTTGGGATGTCTTCACAGCTGCTCCATGAAATCTGGAGTCTCCGGCTGGGAAGTTATGAACCACTGGGGGTGACTCAAATGGCTGAGGTTTGGAATCATCAGACTCCCATGACAGGCACTAAAACTGGGCTCAGTTGAGACTATTGACCCACATGAGACCTTTGTAGGTGGCTAGGATTTTTACAACATAGTAACTGGATTCCAAGAGTGAGCTTCTGCAGAGCAAATGCTCAAAGAACCAAGAGGATGCTGCTTGGATTTTAATGATTTAATCTCAAAAGTCAATGAGCCTACTTTATTGGTTGAAGCAGGCACAATCTTACTATGATGCAACAGGGTGGGTCATCAACTTATCATCCTGATGAGAACAATGTCAAAAAATTTGTAGACCTTTTTAAAAATCACTGCATAAACTGTGTATGAAAGCTAAAGACAGAAAACAGACTAATTGCTAAATGCATGAGTAAGAATGAGTGTGTGCTATTCACAGTTGGGTGTGTTCCATCAACCATTCTGTTCAACAAACAATCCATATATCTCAGAGGTAACAGATTGATTCACTGCAATGGAAGACTTGATAAGTGCAAGGGAATCCAGGCTTAAGTTAAACAGTACATGGTATTTCTCTGGACATAGGATTGGACCTGGAAAGAACATGTGCAGCAATTTGGATCACTGGGATACATTTTAGAGAGTATTGCTGTTTTCTTGCTTTTGTCTCTTGGCCTGTGAATATTATCATGTGTGGCTTGAGGCTGGTTTGTTATGGCCATCTTGATAACAGCTGGAGAAAGAGAGCCACATGTGGAACAAAACAGAGCAAAGAGATTCAAAGACAAATGGAATCAGAGCCTTGATTGAACCATGTCTGCTTGTACTTCTTTTGTTCCATAACACCATAAATTTCTTTCATTGTCCGACCACACTGAGTTGGATTTTATGTTTTATGTATATAACCTGTGTTCAGAAGCATCGTTACTGATGCTCTGCATGAAAGAGAGAAATTAAATATAAAAGAAAATAATTTAATCTCAAATCCTCTTAATATTTTTATCAGGTAATGCCTCTATGTTTTTATTGATTGATTAAGTTTGTGTGATTCTAAAATTATTTTAGTTGTAGAATGGCAGAAACTGACCAAAAACAAAAACAAAACAAAAGCAAACAAAAAAACCCAAACCCCAAAACAAAACAAAATAAATAATCCAAATCACCTTTTTAAAACATAATCAAGAGTTTGTCTTTAGGGATCATCTAAATCTATTTTAATTTTAAAACATATTCAAAACTTTTTCTAAGTAGAGTACAATTTTGGGAGAACCTAAGCTTTATATGTTAGAAATGAATTGATGAGTTCCTTTACAGCCTTCCATAATTCAGACAAAACATCTCTTCAATTACTGTTTAGAGTTTTAACAAACTCCTTTATTACAATGTACTGTAATATGAATATTTGTGTCCCCCCAAAAGTCATATATTGAAACTTAAACTCACGTGTGATGGTATTAGGAGGTGGGGTTTCACGAGGTAATTAGGTCATAAGGGTGGAATCTCATGAATGGGATTCGTTTTCTTATAAAAAAGGCCTCAGAGAGCAACCCTTCCTCTTCTGCCATATGAGGACACAGTGTAAAGATGGCTCTCTATGATCCAGAAAGCAGTGTCTCACCAGATACTGAGTCTGCAGGCACCTTGTTCTTGGATTTTATAGCCTCCAGAACTGTGGGAAATAAACTTCTGTTACTTATAAGCTACCCAGTTTAAGGTACTTTTGTTAAAGCAGGCTGAAAAGACTAAGACACTATGTAATACTTCTATTACATGGTTCTCACTTGGCTGTGTGTCTGCCTCCCATCGTCATGGTATTGTGAGCACTTCTGGAGTTTATTCATCTTTGTTCTAAGTACAGAGTAGATGTGCAGTAGACAGCTGAATCAAGGAATGGATGCCTAGATTGAAGTTAGAGTAGGGAGTTTGAGTAAAAGTTTATAAGTAACTTAATCAAATGCTTTTGATGACCTTAGAGAGGTGGACTAAGATTTTTGGAATAGTCCTGTGGTCCTGTTTTTGGCAACATATTATGTAGCAAGATAAGAAATCAAGTTTATTCAAAATTATTGTTTAATTATGCACACTTGAAACATGTGAGGCTTAATTAACAATTTTTATAGTAAATCATCCAGATAAAATATATTAGCTTCAGAATATATGCTAATCCTATGCATAGGTATATCATTATTTTTCTTGACTTATTTTTCCCCGAAGTATTCAAGCATTCAAAATGGTAAGGTATTACTTACTATAAATGTCATAACCTATTTTAAGAAGATAGGTTAAAAAAATGTTAAAACCTCTCCAAAAGATCCCTCTTCCCCATAGACAGGCAGAAGTAGGAACAATGGGATTTCTGGGTTAGACAAAGCAATTAAAAATTCCGACTTAGCCAACAATGTTGACCTTGAGCAGCTTCTCAAGTCCTTTTCTGATAAAACAAAGGTATGTATACTTGGAAGTTTAAGTTGAATTGTTAAAGCTCCTTTAATACTGAAAATGTTAATATGGGATTCTATAATATATATTATAGAATATATATATATTCTCTCTATATATAGAATTTATATATTGTATTATAATATATATATTGTATTATAATATATATTCTATATATAGAATTCCATATATTATAATACAATATATGTATTCTATATCTATAGAGAGAATATATATAAATATAATATATATATAATACATTCGCAGTTACGATGTTTTGGAAATTATGTTTTAATTGCTTACTTTTAAAAGTGGTCTTTGAGGGCGCCTGGGTGGCTCAGTCCATGTCAATGTCTGACTCTTGATTTCAGCTCAGTTCATGATCTCATGGTCCCTGGGTTTGAGCCCCACATTGGCTCTGCACTGACAGTGTTGAGCCTGCTTGGAATTTTCTCTCTCTCTTTCTTTCTGCACCTCTCCCTCTTTCTCGCAAAATACATAAATTAACTTTAAAAAATTAAAAACAATTAAAAATAAAGTGGTCTTTGGAAGTCTAAGCAATATTTTGAGATTTGTGTATTAATTAAAGATAATGGAACTTTTATTTATTTTTTTAAGATTTTATTTTTAAGTAACCTCTATACCCTATGTGGGACTTGAACTCACAACAAATCAAGAGCCGCATTCTCTACCAAATGAACCAGCACCAATAAAGAAAATGGAATATTTATTTATTTGAGAAAATACCTTTTTATTTTTATTTGAATGAGAGAGAGAGAGAGAGAAAATCCAAAGTAAGCTCCATGCTGAGCATGGATTCAATCCCATGACCCTAGGATCATGTCCTAAGCTGAAATCAACACTCAACCGGCTGAACCACCTAGGCACATCCATAATGGAGCTTTTAAATATTTGGTGGCAACATCTTTAGCTGTTGATTCATCCCCCATTCCCAAAGCAGATACCATTTTTTTCCCATTTCAGTAATAGTTGATTTAAGAAAGGAAGTTAAGTATTGTTTCTAAACTTGATTAGCTGTGTTCTCATTCTGAGGAGCATTTTCAATGTCTGGAAAGAGCACTAGACTTGAAGCTGGATTAGCAATCACACTCTGTTTATATTTTCCTACTGTGAATTTCAGCAAACCTGAGCAATAGAAGTCACCTAAGAGGGAAGCATCAAGAACTTTGTTTTACTCAAGATTAAAGAGCTCAGAAGAGGGGGGCCAAGATGGCAGAACAACATGGAAGTTTTTTTGTGTGTCTCGCATCCATGAAATACAGCCAAACCAACATTAAACCATCCTACACACCTAGAAAACTGATTTGAGGATTAACAAAACAATCTGCACAAACTGAACCACAGAATTCTGCAGTTACATGGCACGGAGAGGTGAACTTGGGGAGTGAGAAGCCGGGGCAGGCAGGGAGGTGATTTTGTGGGAGGAAAGAGGATGGAGATGGGCAGTGAGGGGGGAGAATACGGGAAAAGCACCCCTCCCCAAAAGCAGCTGGAGAGAAAGTGGAAAATTGGAAACAGCTGCAGGGACTAAACTAAAAAGGGAGAAAGGAGAAAGGAGAGGGTTTAAATTCCATTAAGACCGTAAACAAGGGGAGTGCAAAGTCTGCAACTCCACATCTTGATACCTGGTGGTGCTCTGGTGGGAAGGGCGAATCCCCAGGAGCAGAGAGAGTGGGGTCCAGGAGGTTCTTGGGCCACACGGGGAAAAGCAGTTCCACTGCTGGAAGGACAGTGGAGGTAGAGACTGTTGAGGCCCCCTGGTCCCAGCAGACCACAGAAAACAGCCACATTCGCTGGTGCTGGACCAAGGTCGTTGGAAGTGAAGCCTGGTGCCAGATGTGTGTTGTGATTTTCCAGAATCCCTGAAACGCTGCTGCTACACTATCTCACCAACTTTTTCAGGGGCAGCTGGCTCCCGCCTGCAGTCTCTGGGTGTAGGCAGCAGCACAGCCCTGCGAATGTTCCTGGGTGCAGCCGGCAGAAGGCCACTGCTTGGTGAGACCCTCCTGCAGAGGGGTGGAATAGGTCAAAGCCACAGTCCTTCAGAAGTAAGAGGCCAGGTAAACAGCCACATCTGAGACAAAACTTGGGAGAGAGTTACTGCCTGGGGCCTGGTCACGGAGAGTGAAAAAGCAGGCAGTGGATGAAAGCTGAAGACAGAGGACGGGTGCGCGATTGCTGATCCGGGAGACCAGAGTTCCAAAACTAGAGACTGGGTAGCTAGATGACACCATTTTCACCACTTCCGCACATGCGCATACACACCTAATGCGCTACAACACTCCACCCCAGTAGGCTAGCAGCGCCATCTAGTGGAGAACGGAGCCGTTATGCTAAGCCCCGCCCACCTGGGCCAACCTAGCTCTTCAAGAACAGAGTTCTCACTGCCTGCTTAGTTTATGGACTATAAAGTGTTTCATAGCCTATGGGGAAAATGAAGTAATTTCAGTCACATTTGAATCTGTTAGCAGTTCCATCTATTCAATTTTCTTTTTTTTTCTCTTTTTCACTTCTTTTTCTTGAATACAGAAAGAGAAAAAATTCAGTTTTATTTTCGACTTTCATTAAAAATATTTTTATTTTTTTACTATATTTTTTACTTTTGAATAAATTTTTTCAAATTCCATTTTACTTCCATCATTTTATTTTATTTAGTCTACTTCAGTGTACTCACTTTTCCAAATTCTCAAATGATTACCTTTTTTTATTTTTTCTTTTTCATTTCTTTACTTTTTCTTGAATACAGAAAGAGAAAATTTCATATTTATTTTTAATTTTTATTAAAATTGTTTTTCTTCAATTTTTTCTACTATATTCTTTACTTTTGTTAAATTATTTCAAATTCTGTTTTACTTCTATCATTTCATTTTAGTCTACTTCAAGATATTCACTTTTTTCGAGCTCTCAAACGATTTCCTTTTCCCCCCCTTTTTTCT